AAGAAAATGATTATAATAATACTTTATGTTATGTTACACGCGTCATATAAAATTTGCAGAAGTAGGAAAAATTTAAGATTACGTAAGGTTAATTTCGTTTCGAAACCGTTAATTTAGTTATGAATAAATGTATATTTTTTATACATAATCACTAATTATTTTTTTATACATAATAATAAATTATTCTTGTTCAAGGAGGTTGAAGATTCCAACGAAGAATAAATCGTCATCCAATTTAAATAATTTTACACATTCTGTCAAGTCTGAATTGGAAAGACTTTTCAAAATACAATCCTCAGAATTTGAAGCGCTCTGTGCGAATCTGTGTTGAGATAAAATGTGATAAAAATTTAATAAAATGATATTTGGAATTTATAATTTTATATTAAGTATTTGACAATATTATACGATGGTACATAATAATATTATTTACAACTTTTAAATAAAAAAACAAATTTTATTTCAAAGTTAAGTCCTCTAAGAAATTTATGAGAATAAAAATGATTTCTGATCTCAATTTTAATTGTGTCATTTGTTCATCTCGATCTTAATGCATCCGCACTATCCGGGCTTTCCCTACTGTGAAACGTTTTAAAACTATTAAAGACTATGATCTCAGCAAGAAACATTTTGAAATATTTTGGAAATGTTGTAAAAACGTTGTAACGTTGAAATAAAAATGATTTTTATAAAAAAAGTTGAATAAATTGTGTCTGATTATGCTTATATGTGTATACGCGCATGCACGCACGCTTGCACTCATGCACATACATACGTACGCCCGTAACACACACACACACACACACACGCGCGCGCGCGCGCGCGCGTACAAAAATATGTGTATAATATAATAAAACTAAAATTTTAATAAAGATATACATATAGGGTGTATTTGAAAAAAAAGTCCATTAATCATAGAGTGTTATTTTTAATAAAAACTGAATAGAAAAATTTTCTATCATTTGGCAATTTTTGTAATATTATTTTCAGTTACTTAATGAGCAAAATGTCTAAAATCAACATACAAAACAACTTTAAAATATTGTTAAAGAGTTTTTCAAAAAACATCTTTAAAATATTTCACAAAGAATATTAAAGATATCTTAAAATTGTCTTATCTCATTATTACTTATTATTACCATTACTCATTATTTATACTCATTATAAATACTATTTATACTCATTATTACCATCTTGTCTCATTATTACTTATTAATTTTCTGTAATATCTACATATTTAATTACGAATTTGGATAAAATTGTCTGTCTTTGGAATTGTATCCTTATTTGCAGTTATATCATTATCTGAATTGTTATCTATGCGATCTGAATTTGGACGTAATATCCTACATTTATATAAGAAGTTATTAAAAAGGCAATAACAAGTACAGTAGATACATTATTTTCAATTATGTACATTTTCCGCTATATATTTCCGGACTGAATTATAATTTTTTTATAATTTATTATTTGAACATTTACGAGTGATTATGTAACAATCAAACAGATTTAAAAGTTCTGTAAATTTGATAATTGTCGGGTTAAATTAGAATGTTTCAATATTACTAAAGAACTGGAAAGGATATGGGCAGTAGAAATCAAGCACAGTATACGTCCCACAAATAATACAATACATCTATGAAGTGTGAAAATTTTTTATCCACTAAAACGCGTTTACATGTTTCGGCTCACTTTTAAGTCCTCCTCAGAGACAACACAAACTAACATACATAAACTGTGAATAAAAATTATCATGGTGAGCTCCCCTAGCTCGAGAATTTAAATGCCAGAATTAAACCCAAAAAGAGTAAAAGAAAAAGAAAAAAAAATGAACGAAAAAATAGGAAATAATGGAAATATCGAAATAAAAAATATGAAAAACTAATTCAGCAAAAATCTTAAAATTATAATTAAATATCCCGAAAATAAGGACGCTCACCGTAATCACAAATCACAAATTATATCGCAAATATTACTATGAATTATTCAAAAATCAGTTCTCGACATTTTTTTGGCCAGTCCTTGTCAATTATTTGGATGTTACAGTATTTAGGGATAATGAGTTGATAGAGTTCAGTTGATATAGTCGGCCACAAGCCGACTTTTTCGGATAGATATGATTTGAATTTTTTTCACAGCATCCTGTTTCTTACAAAATAGGTACAATAACGAGATTAGTTGATAGGGTATCTTTGCTTTCGAATCTTAAATTTCACCTTGATAATTTCATTATTAAAGTATTGTTAGAGAATGATTATCCATTGAACTTTATATTTGAGAATATTAACAATCGTTTGAAGAAAATTATTATGGATAGAAATCGGAAGAATGTTGAGAGCTAGAAATAGGAAGTGTTGTTAATGACAATAAGATAGAAGCAGTGCAGCCGTCCGTGTTCATGGTACCGTGTTCTGTGCCTTTCTTTCGTGGTATTACTGAGAAGTTTAGCAGATTGAATAGCGAGCGTACGAGGATATCGTTCTATAGTACTAATAAATTGCGAGAATTAATTAGGGTATATGAGGACTTTTTACCGCATGACAAGAAGTCGAATGTTGCTTATAAGATTTCGCGTAAGAGTTGCGATGCAAGTTATGTAGACAGACATGTAGATAGCTAAAGTCAAGAATCACGGAGCATAAGAACCATGTCAGATAGAACATATCTACTGGTAATGTCATAACGGAGCATCGGTTAC